CATTCAAAACCGTCACTTTCAACCAAAAATATGTATTGATACAGCTAGAACTGGGTTAAGCTCATAAAACATCAATTGTAGCTCTGCCTCTTAGCTTTCCAACGCCTAAAGAATCATCTCAATCTGATACCTAGAGAAAAAGATATGGTTAAATTACTACAGCATGTGCAAATTGTCACTTATTACAAAATTAATTCCTATCTTAATTTCCACTCACAAATAATGAATTTAATATAAAAAAGGGTGAAACTAAGTTACAAAAAACCCATAAAATTTAATTCTAGGCTCAAAAAAGGTAGATAAATGCATATAAAAATTAAACTCATCAAATACCCCCAAACTTAAATTCTTGCTTGTCCTCAAGCAAAAGAAAGCTAAAAAAAACAGAACTCATGTACATTCTTCCCCACACAGATAACACAAGGAGCATCAACATTCAACTTGATTTTTAGTTCAAATTCCAGTAATACCAAGCAAGGGAGTCAATGACTATCACTTTCATATCCATGCTCATCTTTAAATAAACCCATGCAAACTTGCAATAAGCACCACTAAAACATGTAACAATATACCATGTAATTATCCCTTTTTTCTTTTTCTTTTTCTTTTTTTCTTTCTATTCTTTTTCTCTTTTCTTCTTTTTTTTTCTAGCCATACATCACAATCTTCCTTGAGCTATCACTTATCTTTTGACGCGAATACTAACATTTGTGATGAAAGCACCTGGTTACTCAATAAGTCATAAATTCAAAGTGCTTTGCATACTCATATTTCAAGTTACCGTTTGACGTGAAAGCTGATATGGGTCGCATACCTAACCTTCAGTTACTAAGCACTTAGAAACATTGGAGTAGAAATTCAAATTTTTTTGTGTGCTGGCTTATTCCTTTTCTTTTTTTCTTTTCTTTTCTTGTCAAGTTTCTTTAGGCTTTCTAAGTTACCCATATAACGAGCTTTTTGCCAATGACTCCCAAACCAGTTGGCTTTAGGGCACTAGGTGAAGAGACACCCCTAAGAGCATACTTACTCAAGTAACAAAGGCCACGAAACATTTGACTTTTTTTTTTTTTCAAAGCAGTTTCCAAGGATAATTAGACAAGATAGTCATCACAGAAACAATGGCACCTACTCACAAGATGCATATAATTTCCAACCAAAACAATTATAAAGTCAAAGCCCTCAACTCCTCTCATCAAG